TGCTACCAAAGCTGGAGCCGAAAAACTATTCGTACTCTCCTAATTATTTTATTAAGAGATGATTATAATTTTCTCTATTTTTTCAAGAGGTAGGCTGGCTATGGAGCTAAGAAGCATTTTTTTGAACAAGAGATTATCATATACATTCGCCTACGGTATCGAGACGTCTCAATTCGGCCTGCAACCATAGCTGCGACTGAAAAAGCTATTCGGATTGTAGAAAATATGGGAGATGATCGGCGTTTCCCCAAGTGAACTCGAGCTCTCGGCCAGCTACGGAGCTGAGATGCACAGAAATCGCCAGGGAATGCTGAGAAACACCTGCAGTATCTGGACGCCTGAAATCGGCCTGCTACCAGAGCTGCGACCAAATAATTGTTTGCTCTCCTTCTTTTTGATGAGAGATTGTGTTGGATTTCTGTGCTTGCTCTCCTGTTGTAGGCAAGCTAGGGAGCTGGGAAGCACTCCGCTCAACACGAAGTCATCAGACACAGTGGTCTATTGTATCGAGACGTCTGAGATTGAATGGCTACTTCCACTTTGCATTTTCCGTGAGATGATGTTTGTTTGTTGCGTTGATTTCGAGCTGTAGGCAAGATGCGGAGCTCAGATATCCACCAATCGACAGGAAATGCTGAGAAGCGCTGGTTCCAAGCATTTAGACGCCGGAGATCGGTCTGCTACCAAAGCTGCTACAAAAATACTTATGTGCTCTTCAAATCTAGATAGGCGGTGTTGGGTTTCTCTACTTCATTCGAGCTGTAGGCAAGCTGCGGAGCGGGGAAGCACGGGAAGGATCACGAGTGCTAGTCTGCAGTGTCACGAACTCGAGCTGTGGACAATCAAGGAGCGGTGAAGCGCATTTCTAAAAAAAACCGCACCCTCGCGCTCGCGCGGAATGCGAGATTGCCGCGCTCGCGTGCCATTCATGCTTATTTCAGGAAGCTCTACGAGGTCCCGGTTGTAACCAAGGTTGACGGTTTACCGCCGGCTTCCAGTGTCCGGGGGCCGGTGGTACACCGTCAACCAGGTTGCCGCTGGGGCCCTCGTAGAGCTCTTAACACGCAAATCAGTGTTCAGATAACGAGGAGAGAGCGTTCTCGAATGTCAGCTTGAAAACTCGTAAAATGTATTTCTTCTGGTTGTATACGACGTCGGTTTCCCCAAGTGTTCCGATATTTATCTTGCAGTTGCAGACGTGAGAATGTGACAGACAGACGCGGCATAACCCATTGCAGGTGCGAAAATACCGGTTCTCAAAACGAGCGTTCAAATCTCTCACAATGTTCGAACAACCGACCCCAGGTCATCACAGTGTCCGCCCAGGCCGGGTGGGCCAACTAGCTCCACCCCGCGCCGGGATTCCTCTAGCTAATCGATGCCGAAGAGCTCTACGAGATATATTGCAGACGAGCACGTGCTTCCCAGCTCTGTAGCTTGCCTACAGCTCAAAGTAAGTAGAGAGACCCAACGCCGCCTATCTATATGAAGAGCGCAGATAGTTTTTTAGTCGCAGTTTTGTAGGAGACCGATCTTCGGCGTCTAGCTACTGGTAGCTAGACGCCTAAGATGTAGCTCTGGTAGCAGACCAATCTCAGACGTCTCGATGCAGTAGACCACTGTGTATGATGATTTCGTGTTGAGCGGAGTGCTTCTTAGCTCCCTAGCTTGCTTATAGCACGAAACAAGTACAGAAATCCAACAACGTCTCTCTTACAATGACGGAGTGCAAATAGTTATTTGGTCGCAGCTCTGGTAGCATACCGATCTCAGGCATAGCCAGCCTACAGCTCACACTATTAGAGAACACTATCATTATCTTCTGAATAATTCGCAGAGTACGAATAGGTTTTAGGTCCCAGCTCTGGTAGCATACCGATCTCAGGCATCTAGATACTTTAGACTAGCGCTCCTGATGATTTCCTTGCGATTGCTGTGCCGAACATGTAGCTCACCTACAGCCCGAGTTAAGTCAAGAAGCCGACAGCACCTGCCGAGATGACACTCAACGCCTTATCCCGCCTGAGTGTTTTTGGTCGTCATATCCACCCGATCGACCTAATAGCAAGATGTCGAGCGGGAATGAGATCGAATGTGGAGGACAAATATTATAACTCAAACGAATGGTTGAATTTCGAGAAACTGATTTTAAATAACAAAAAAGGCAAAACATCAGTCGATACTTTTCGGGCCAACTAGCCCGCCAGCGCGCTGGAATTACTCTCTAGCTTCGCCGCTTCGCTCTTAGGGAAGCTCTACGAGTCACTTCTCATTGTCCGCCCGGGTCGGATGGATCAGCTGGGAGCCGGCGGTAAACCGTCGACGAGGTTACCGCCAGAGCTCACGTAGAGCCCTTGAGAAAAGCAGTGCTCCGAATACGAAACTTTCTTGCGTGTCAGGTCAGCTTCAACTCCACGCGATATATATATATATATATATATACACACAGTCATGCAACGGGCCGTTGATTTCGACAGGCCGACGCGTCATACCTTACTACAGGTGCACGGACAACTGGAGCTGTGTAGCTCGCGTCCTGCTGAAGTTCAGTTCACAGAACCATTGCCATCTTGGGAAATGCATCCCGATCGCCGACATATGCTCCTAATTGTCGAGAGCTTTGGAGCTGCAGCCCTGAGACTTTCGCTATGAAACGCGCCATGATCGATCGCAGGGAATAAACATCGGGTTTCCCAAGACGAATAGTCAAATCTCTTGCTGACCGAAGCTTCCCACGTTGTCCGCCCGGGCTGGGTGGGCCAACTAGCTCCACTCCGCGCCGGAATTCCTCTAGCTCATCGATGCCGAAGAGCTCTACGAGGTACTAGCTCGCAAGCGCGCCTGAACTGGGGGCAGGCGGTAAATCGTCCACCAGATTGCCATTGGGGCCCTCGTAGAGCTCTGAACACGCAAACAAATGCTTTGAGTATCAGGGGAAGCTTCCTCAAAACTCAGCTTGACAACTTAGAATTCTTTTTGGGTGCTATGCGCAGTTGGTTCCTCCAAGTGTTTTAATTGTAGCTGCTGCAGACCTGGGCGCCGCATGACCCACTACAGATGAACCGTCAACCAGGTTGCCACCAGGCGTAGAGCTCTGATCACGCGAATAAGTGCTCGGATGATGAGGAGAAATTTTTTTATTACAAATCAGTTTGAAAACTCTCAAAATGTATTTTTTGGGTTTATGAAGTCGGTTCCTCCATCTCGCTTGACAGCAATATTGCAGCTTCGGACCTGAGAATTCGACGCACAGACGCACAAATCACTCCACGTTAGAAAATTATTGTTTTGGAAACGAGTGATCAAACATCTCGGAATCTTCAAAACTGGAAGCCGGCGGTAAACCGTTAACCCTGGTTACCGCCGGGAACTCGTAGAGTTTCCTTCCCGTATACCTCGTAGAGCTCTTCGGCGTCGATGAGCTAGAGGAGTTCCGGCGCGGGGTGCAGCTAGTTGGTCCACCCAGCTCGGACGGACAATGTGATGACCTGGGGTCGCTTCCTTGAAGATTCTGACAGATTTCACCTTTCATTTCCACAACCAGTATGTTGCTCACGTGTCGTGAGTTATGTCGCGTCTGTCCTTGAAATTCTGAGGTCCGTAGCTGCAATATTATTATCGACAGACGTGGAGGAACCAACGTCGTATAAGACCTGGAAACAAATAAATGTTTGCGTTTTTTTTTGAAACGGATATTCGAGAACGCTCCCTCGTCGTAGTCTGAGCACTGATTTGCGTGGTGAGCTCTACGAGGGTTCCGGCGGTAACCTGGTTGACCAGAGCTTACCTCCTGGTCAGCCAGGCCTCACCGTGCAGAGGGAGTCTTTGGTTCCACATATTGTACACTGTCCACTTGTTCTGAGCCTCAAGCCAGTGCCTTTCTTGAATTGATGTTGTCTTCTCTGTGTGGACCCCCTTGGATTTCATATTCGAGTGTGTGGTCTCAGGAAAGTCACGACATGCATCTCTCTTACAATCCTCGTGCTTCTCATAATCCGTTCCCCGTTTCAGTTCCCAAATCTAGCAGTTGGAAGCGCAAAAGCTAGGGATATATTACTGGAGAGAGTATCATCAGCTCGCGTGTCGGAGGTGTGGTTGTGTGCTATATTCATGCCGTGCTGTACCCTTTACAATTCATGCAAGTTTGTGACTATTCAGACGTTCAGTTCAAAATGCAAAGAGACGTAGAGCTGGTGTTGTGGGCCCCCGTTGGAATCGACGGAGTGGCCTCATGCTGTGTTGTACTCTTGTCAATTCATGCAAGTTTGTGACTAATCAGGTGAAACATTCATCGCGATCCGTGGGTTATTCGACGGAGGCGTTTCTGATCTTGAGTTCTCTCACGTGTGCATGTCGCTTCAATTGTAGCGGTGTTGTGAGGTTGCTTCAAATCGTTACTCTTTACTATTCGTGCAAGTTTTCGGAGATGACAAGGTAAAGTTCAAGCTTGTTCCGATCGCGGAGGAGGCGTTTGGCTCGATTCCGCGGTAGTCTGTGATACATAGTGTGTCTGTACTCTGCTCAAGTCATGCATGTTGTGATTGCTTCTTTGTCTGTGAAGCTCTCTCTCGTTGCTCTTCGCTTCATTTGTAGCGGCGGCGTGAGGTGTGTATAGCGGCCTAGTGTGAATCATTGACTTAATATTCAGGTAAGCCTTTGACATTGTTGCCCTAAAGTAGGTCATTTGTTTGCCTCAAAGAAGGTCCTTGCCCGCGTCCTTGTCTTGTACTATTGTACAGCTCAACGAGCGCCGCAGTTTTTCTTGGCTTATTGCAAGCCCGCTCGCTGCCCCATGAGGGCCTGGTTCGCGAGACCGCAAACCGGAAAAGAACCTGGTTGAGCAGAGATTACCTCCTGCTCAGCCAGACCTCACCGCTGGGGACCCCTTCGTCTCGAGCAGCATTGTGCTGTGAGCTGTTTGGTTTCCCATGCGGTACCCCCTTGCACACTGTGATTTCGCTGATTGAACACGCTGGTGTTGTGGGCCCCCGTTGGTTTCGATGGTGTGGCCTCATGATGTGATATACTCTGCTCAATTATCAAGTTCTATGTTTTTTCCAGATATACCTTCGACATCGTGGAAGCGAGAAATGAGACGTTTGAGACTTTTGGCGTACCTTCCAGTTGCGATTGACTTCTTTCACTTGGACCGCCCTGCGCTGGTCGTTGTTGTAAGCACTAAACATACTGCGGCCTGCCCACAGGAGGGTTCGCACGATATTACTTTTGTTCGTTCTTCTTCTATGGACGATGCTATTTCGCAGGATATTGCTGTGCGCGATGATGTTGAGGAGGTGGTTGAGGAGACTGTTGTGCATGGTAGTTCGCGTGATAGCAGGTCGGGGCAGGATGCTGTCCTTGGGGGGCCCGTGGGGTAGACCCTAAAGGCTCAGGATGTTGGTCATGAGGCATCTTGTTATCAGAGGTCCAGTGTTGATCATGAGGCTTCTGCTTTTCATGTTGAGAGCTCTTCATCTAGGCGATTCCGGTTTGATGATCGGTCTTCAGGGGCTTGCTATGAGATGCCGCCTCGAGCGAGGCTGAGACCCATGTCGAGCTTGAGGCCAATATCGAGGCGGAGACTCGACGAGGCTTTCAAACTACTGGCGAGAATCAACAGGCGAGACTCTACTGTTTAGACGGCAGCTGATGTTAAAATGTCGGAGGTGGAGAAGCATAACGCGGATATGGAGAATCGAGGAGGAGGAAGCTCATCGAACTCAGGGGATATGTTTTCTCCCTTTTTGGCCGGTGATATTTCGTATGATGTTGCTGTGCACGATGACGCTGAGGAGGTGGTTGAGGAGACTGTTGTGCATGATAGTTCGCAGGATAGCTTGCAGGATAGAGGCGTTGATGAGACTGCGTCACAGGATCTTCCGTCGCTTGATCTCTGCGGTGAGTCACTGGCAGGTGATGGCAGGTCGGGGCAGGAGACTGTCCTTGGGGAGCCCGTGAGGCAGACCCTAAAGGCCCAGGAGCTCTACGAGGGTCCCGCTGTATCCGTTTCGCATGTGTCATCGTTGTCTGGGTGCGAGAAGGATGAGAAGGACGAAGTGGAGGAGGATGAGGATTCTTTGCAGCACAATCAAGCACCCGATGCAATCGTTATCGTTGAAACAGCTATAGAGCTCGTGCCGACAAACTTTTGTCACAGAAAATATTGCTTTGAACGGCCGATTGTTACGGACAAGCATGCCATCGCTTCTGCCTGGCAACAGTGGCAACGTGGTTTGGATCCCGGACCCTACACGGACCCCCTCACACATTTCAAGAGTTGAATCTGCTTCAACGTCTTTTTGGCAGAGGCTACTCCCATGCTGATCTCGTGTACTTCGAGGGCTGTCTGATTGCAGCGGGTTGGGATGAAGAGCTCGGCTTCCGCCGGGATGTGGAGGATGGTGGAGGAGTTGCTGCAAAAATCGGGTCACCATGTGGCATGCCTTGCAGTGCAGCGAGGTCGGGGAGGGTGCTTTCCACGATGAAGAGCTCATGGATGATTTTCTGGAGTTGGTCGTTGCTCGTCTAAGATGTGACGGGGCGAGGATCTGGGAAGACGTTCGGCAAAGTTAGCTGTGCTCTCGCTCTTTTCTGTTCCCCATGCCGCACACTGTCGTCCTGCAATTGTGCATTTGTTTGGTCTTGACATACGGTACACTGCACTGGTAGTGAGCCTCAAGCCAGTGCCTTGCTTCAAGTGTTGTTGCCTTCTCTGGTTGGACCCCTTCGGTTGTCACGTTCGAGTATGTGGTCTCAGGAGAGACACGACTTGCATTTTCTTACAATCCTCATGATTCGCATAATCACTTCCCCGTTTCTGTTCCTCGTATCGGTTCCCGTTGACAGGATCCGCGAGCTGCTCGCTCGCATCCACTCTTAAAACACGTGCAACGGCATAACTTAGTTATTGAAGGTGAAACACTCATCGCGATCCGTGGTTCATTCGACGGAGGCGTTTCTGATCTTGAGTTCCCTCGCGTGTGCATTTCGCTTCAATTGTAGCGCTATTGTGAGGTTACTTCTGATCGTTACTCTTTACAATTCATGCAAGTTTTTGATGATGACAAGGTAAAGTTCAAGTTTGTTCCGATCGCGGAGGAGGCCTTTGGCCTGGATCTGCGGTAGTCTGTGATACATCGTGTGTCTGTACTCTGCTCAGTTCATGCATGTTTTGATCGGTACCACTTTTCGGCTTCGTTTGGAGTGCTTGACGTTGCGTGGCGGCGTGACGGGGTCTCTGTTAGTGGGGCCGCACAGGCGTGTGTCTGGTGGTGGGTCGGGGCGGTTTTGCCGCTGCGATCCGTCTCTCTGGCGCGTCTTCTTTTGGTGATGCCTGCGCCTACTGGCTCGGCAGGCCCTTGATGCAGATGCCTCAGCCTCCTGGCTCGGCAGTGTTGCAGTTTTTTCTTGGCTCATCGTAAGCCCGCTCGCTGCCCCGTGAGGGCCTGACCGCGAGACCGCATGCCGCAAACAACCTGGTTTACGGTTTACAGCCGGCTCCCAGCTTCTATGGATGGCATGCGAGCGCGGCAATCTTGCATTCAGCGCGCGCGAGGGTGTGCGGTTTCATAGAAATGTGCTGGGCAGCTCCTTTCTTGTCCTCAACTCGAGTTCAGTTGAGACAAACACCCGCGCAAGAAAGTAAAAAGCTGAGCATATGTTCGCAGAATACATGTAACAACCAAGAAGCTCTCGTCACGTGTAGGTCATGCGGGCTTGGTAGCTGTCTGCAAAGCAGGAATAGTTTATTGGTCGCAGCCTTGGTAGCTCACCGAGTTCAGGCGTCTCGGCACTGCAGACAAGCGCTCGTGACACTTTCTATTCGAACTGTTTGTCTCAGCTTCGTTCTTTGCCTACAGCTCGAACCAGTAGAGAAAGCCAACACCGGTTATTTCGCATTTCAAGAGCGCAAATAATTGTTTTCGTCGGAGCTCATGTAGCAGACATATTTCGGCCGTCTAAATGCTTTAGACTAGCGCTTCTCAGCATGTCCTGTCGATCGGTGTATATCTCAGCTCCGTAGCTCTCCTACAGCTCGAATTGAATACGAAAATAAACATAATCTCTGACCCCCCAAAGTGCAGAGTGCGAATCGTGTTGTAGCTAAGCAGACCAATGTCAGCCGTCTCGATACTGTAGGCGTTGTGTCTCATAATTTCCGGTTGAACGGTGTGCTTCCCAGCTCCCTAGCTTGCCTGCAACTCGAATTACATTCAGAAAATTAGCACCGTCTCTCACACAAATGAAAGAGTGCAGACATTTATTTGGTCACAGCTCTGGTAGCAGACCGATCTCAGGCGTCCTAGATACTTTAGACTGATGCTTCTCAGCATTTCCTTCGATTGGTGTGCATTTAAGCTCCGCAGCTGGCCAAACGCACACCATCTCTCGAACAAAAACAGATTTTCAGTCTCAGCTCTGGTTGCAGGCCGAATTGAGACGTCTCGATACCGTAGGCGAATGTGCCTGGTGATTTCTTTCTTGCAGATGCCCTACCCAGCTCCGTAGCCAGCCGACAGCTCGGATAAAATAGAAACAACTAACATCATGATTCTGTCTTAAAGAAAAAGCAGAGTAGGACTCGTTTATGGGTTCCGGCTCTGGTAGTAGACCGACCTCAGGCATCTAGATACTTCAGACTAGCACTCCTGATGAATTTTCTGTCGATTGCTGTGCCGAACAGCTCTGTAGCTCATCTGCATATCGAGTTAAGTTTAGAAAGCCGACAGCATCTGCCAATCTGACACTCCACAGCCGATCCCTCCCATGTGCTGTTTTAGTAGTATCTGCCGGATCGACCAGATATCAAGATGGCGAGCGGGAGCAATCGAATATAGGGGGGAGAATTTTTAGAACTCTAGCGAATGGTTGAATTTCGAGAATCTGATTTATCCCACCGAAACTATGAAAAGCTTCCGTCGAGATTCGGGGGGCCAGCTCGCCCGCCAAATCGGGGGTTCCGGCGCCGCGTGGATGGCGTGGCGGCCATCGCTGCCATCAGCGAGTTCGGCGACTTCGAGGCTAGCTAGGCCGCTGCATTGTAGATCTGTGCTTCGTGTCAGGCCGCCTGCTTTTGTTGTTGTTGTACTTGTTTTTTCTTGCCTGCAAAGACGGACGGACACGACTTCTCAGTTCTTGCGAGACGAGGGCGACAGGAAGAGTTCCCAATCGGCATTACCATATTTGCAGTACTCACAGGATTACGGACAGGCTCCAGATTCTGCTATCGAGAGAAGCATCTCGGAAGAGACAACTTGCCGATACTGAACAGATTGGACGGGACTTTCCATTGGACGGGACATTGGACAGTGCACATTCCACTCCAGACAGTGACAGGCATATATCGGTTTCTCCTCCACTCGTAGATATGAATACGGGGTTGATGAATGTGATGCAGACCTCTTCCAACGCTGGCGCGGCGGGAGCTACAACTGGCGGAGTTCGTGTAGGAGGGGTTCCAGCAGGTCAGGTCGTTCCTGTAGGTCAAGGCTCTGGAGGCGCTCCTGCTGTTCCTAGAGAGAGAGAGGCCCAGCTCCACAGGATGTTCTCGGGGGCCCCTCAGGTATGCCCGCGGAAGCGCAACAGGCTGCGGCCCAAGCGGCTGTTGTCCCTGAAGGTGCTGCTGAACATGAAATCATGCAAGGTGTCATCGACGACGCCAAGCGAAATGTCAAACATCCTGTCAATGGTCCTCAGGGGGCCCTCTTGGGAGAGCTTGGGGAAAAGCGAAAGAAACGCAGTGTGGTCTCGGATGAGGCCCCATCTTGGTTCAAGGCCTTCGCGGAGCTCAACGTGATCGAGAGCAAGGTTAGGCAACGAGAAAACGTTGAAATCAGGTCCGAAATCCAGGGTATCTCGAACCGCCAGGAGGCTTCCGACACCAGGATGAACAATCTGGAGCGACAGTTGCATGATCTCAAGAAGAACCCCAGTGTGGCTTTGGGTGCAGCTTCAACTACGGCACCCTCTTACGGGGGAGGCCCGCCTGGACTCCCAGGCCCCTCCACCTTCAGTCCCAGCTACGTGGAGCTCACAGGCTGGGCAGACTGGAATGCAACAGCTGTTACTCGATCGGCCAGCATGGTGAGGGACACGGACGCTGCACAATTTACCACTAATTTGAAGACGGCCATTGCAGCAGAGGAAGAAGCTCGGAACGACTACGAGGGCACTTTACGTTTGAACGGAAGTAGGACGATGTTGAGTACGATCAAAATGAAGTTCATGGTGGGAACCGGTTCCTCGACGCTTTACAATGTGAAGCGTGCTTTCGATGAGGCATTAACGCCGAATGTGCAACGAAGTGCGGCTCAGGTTACCAGGTCCCCTCCAGACTACGACAGTATGTTTCAGGGCATGTTGCAACGACCCAGTCGGGTCCGTGTGCGCATAGAGGCCCCGCCTTGGAAGCGGGATCATTTCGGTGCTGTGGGCCGCTTCTACGGGGCATGCCGCGAATGTGCCAGCAGTGAGGCTATGGAGATCAGGGGGGAGACTGGATCGGGACCTAACGGACGGAGTACAATGTGGACCAAGCCGCAGGATCCTCAGCATCGACCCGTGGAGCTGGCATCCTTTCGTATCATTGCGGGGTGGACGGTCGACCGTGAGATTTGGGAGAGTGTTCTCATGCGAAGCGGTGTGACTCCCACGTATGATGCCTTTTTTTGGCGAATCTAGCCGGCAGGTCGTGACGGTGCAGAGGTGCCAGTCGGGCTGACTGCCCCGCAGCCCAGCACAGGCTCGGCGCCCAGAATCTTATTCAACAAGGGGCTACAGCACATCGCGGGTTTGCTCGCATGAGGGCGCTTCTTTCTCACGGCTGTGGAGTGTTCTGTTTACAGGAGTGTGAACACTTACCGTCTACATCAATTCAGCTGCTTGGCTGGCATCTAGTTTACTCCAGTGACAGGAAGGCTTCCATAGCCTTGGGGGGGAATCTTGTCACAATGTAATTCGTTCTTGGTGTAACCATGCTCGTTTGGCGATTGTGTGCTTGCGTCATCCATGTATCTTTGTTCTCTCTGCGTATTTCCCGAATAGATCGGAGAAGCGCTCGCTGGAGGTGGCTTTTGAGATGCTGAAGGCAATCGAAACAACTTATCGGAGGTGGGAGGAGGAATGCAGATACACATGTGAGCTTGTGATTGCAGGGGATTTTAATGTCGAGCTTGCGCCTGACATTACCTGCTCAGGAGGCACGGTGACTGGAGGTGCTGTGCAGATTCTCGACGGGAGGGGATATGGGAATGATACGGAGGATAGACGGTGGGAGGAGGAT